TATTATACTATTATTCATATAATATAATATTATTAATAATGTTAATATTATGTTATTACTAGTATGTTATTAATAAATTAATTTATTATAAATATTTTAATATTATATAATATATTATAGTTTTTATGTTAGAGTTTATTAATAGTACTTTAATAATATATTAGTATTTATAATATAAATAAATATTATTATATTATGAATATATAATTTTTACATTAACTTTTATTAGCAATAAATTATTTTATTATTAATAATATTTTATTTTATTATAATAAATTATATTATTTGTTACATAATATAATATTATTTTATATATTATATTACATTTACTATACAACATGTTATTATAATAATATTATTATATTGTTATGTTATTATTAAATATGCTACTATTATATAATATTTAATAATTATTACTTTATTAAAATTTATTTATTAAAAGTTAATAATATTATAGCGACTATACTATTATATAGTATATTATTATATTATTATTTATTATCATTAACTTTTTTATTATTTTATTTATATTTTATTATTATATAATACATTATTAACATATTAAATATTAATATTAATATGTTATTATATTATTATATAAGATATTTTATTTATTATATTTTTATATTATTTAATATATTACTAATATATTAAATTAACTATAATATAGTATATTGTAATATAATATAATAAGCATGTTGATAATAACTCTATATTAATGATATTTAATATATTATATTAGATATTATATTAACACATTCTCAAACTCAAAACCAAAACACCAATCTTAAAACACCTAAAAGGTGTTTTGAAATAAGGGTTGTGTTTTTGGTTTGAGGATGATTTAGCTAAAAAAAACATCATGGTTTCCAAACGCATGGCGTTTTGTTTTTGACAAAAACATCATGAAAACAAGTAAAACACCATGGTATCCAAACGGAACCCTAGTGTTTCACACCTCAATTAAGCAAATATAATTTTCATTCAATCTTCATTGATTTTTTTATTCTGATTACAAAGCTCTTTTATAGAGCAATTACTTATTTGGAAAATCTCACAAAATCAATTCTCTCAAAATCAATTAGATCTCTAAAATCTCTCAAATACTAAAATCAGATTAACTACTAATTTTAAACCACAATTCAAAATTCAAACCTAAACTGAATTAACTACTAAACTGAAAATAAACAAATAAAGAAATCGTTGCTCTTGTCCTCATCACTAACCCTGAGCACTATTAATACTCCAAGATTTGTCTTGTATTGGTTTACAGAAATCTGCAATTATAAATTAAATTTATTAACATCTGCTGTCACATTTTCACTTTATTTATCGGATAGAAATCTACATTTCAGTTTAGTGTCCAAGATTACAAGCGAGCAATTTTGGCTGCATCTTTCTGCTGGAAATTAATTAAGGAAGAAGAAGAGGATAAAAAATCTGAAGCCTTTAACGCTACTTTCCTTTATTGTACCGATAATAGTTAACGGATCTCCAACTCACAATGACGTTTGCCTTGAGACAAGTGCTGCCTGGGGACCAATAGTTTGGATCTTGACTGAATGGAATCTCCAATAGTATTGAATCTAGCTTCTCAGGAGAAGATAAAGATTTACTCCATAATTGTTTAATGAAAATGGTTTAAGAAAGCATTGTTATTTTAAAGTCCCGGGGTTTTGGGCGGTAAAGCCGGTGCATTTGAGCAAGGCTTGCAGTTTTAATAAAACAAAAAGAAGGTAGATAAGAATCTATAAGATGGATATTCAGTAGATTCTTTGACTTGGACAAACAGATAATCTAATAAAAAACTATAACAGAGACCCTAAAGTTGAACGTATTTGCCTATAATATCTTGACACAGACAAGATCAGTTGTTTTTATCAATGGATTTGAAGTTAACTGTGATGATCCAGAGATGAACACTTTTGTATCCTATGATAATGTTTGACAATCTTACATGTTTTTCTCATCCGTTTCATATATCTTCTCTTTTTAAGTTGATCTATATCTATATCCAATTTTGAAGAATATAGAATATATATATATTATATAATATATATATATAATAGTATTATAATATATATATATATTATATATATATAGATATATATATATATATATATAGAAAGAGAGAGAAGAGGAGAGAGAGAGAGAGAGAGAGAGAGAGATTAATGGTATCTGTCATACAGCCAGCAGAAGGAGGTTTTAGATATGTAGGAATCCAGGTTCAACGAGAGCGGTATCCTCCACGAATGTGTCCAACAATGTGATTTAGAGGTGTCCTAGAGAAATCTCCTATGACAAGGATACTCATTAATCTCATATATATATATATAATAGAATATATATAATATATATATATATATATATAATATATATATACTATATATTTGTTTGGTAATAATTAAATAATTAGTAAACAGATATGAATATGATAAATATAAACCTACTCTTTAGTCCACATTCACCGTAGCAGTGTTCCTATTACTAATTCTAGATGGTAACGTCTGAAGGCAACATGGAACTGTTTAGCAAAGCGTTTCAGATGCTCAGGACCGATAGATTTCCCACAATTCAGCCACTTGTATACTTGTTATATTAGTGACACTGATTGCTCCGTGAAAAATTACCTGTCATCATACTCAAGCTAGTCCAGAACTGGAATAAACAGATTTTCCATGATTCAGCCTCTGTATACGCCTTGTAATAATAGTAGTTAGACAAGTAAAGACTAGTTCCTTCATGAACCAGGCACATCTCAAACCAATTCAAAATACAATCTTATAGAACCAGGTCCATCTTAATGTGAAATCTGAACTTCAGTTAGGTATTGCATCTTTGAAAAGGACATCAAAATCATCACATGTCTCAATTACACAACATTCTGATTGTCATAAATGAAAAATCTCAAGCCAACTTATGACTGCTCCGGAGCGGGAGGATTATGTTCACTAGTTGTACAAGGTTCCTTGGTAGCATCAGAGCTTTGCTTCGGATTTGTTTCAGGAGCTTCGCTGACCTTCTCTTCTTGCATCTCAGTATCAACATTCTGAACATCTGCAACAGTGTCAGAAGCCTGAGCATCTATCTCAACATTCTGAGCATCATTTACCTCAGCGTCAGCACTAGGAGCATCTCCATCAGCCTCGGCTTCAACCATTTCTTCATCACCATCACCGGCTATAGTTTCTACACCATTCGATACTGGAGCAGATTGACTTCTGGATTCCTCAACTTCCCTATCAGGTTCAGTTGGTTTTGGGGATGTTTGCCTGGGGTATGGATCGGAGCAAGCACTTAGGGTCGATGTCACCAACAAGTTCTGTATAAAAACAAATATAAGCTTGATAAATTTTAAAAATAAATAAATAAGCTATTGACTAGCCAAAAGAATATCTCAGAGGACCAAGACATAATAGAGAATTAGAGATAACATGACTGGATTCTTTGATAAAGACACACCCAAATCATATACCGATATTTGGGTGCTATCCTAGATGCGTCAAACCATATTAGAGATATATTTGGGACCAAAATTCTTGTTCATGAATATATGATTAGAATTGTCTTTCCATTTTCTTAATAGAGAACTATGATTTTCAAGAAATTAGTAACATCTATGTTAATGTGTTTTTCCTTAACTGTAAATGGCATGAATTATGATTGTAGACAAACATTAATGGACGTGGTTTTATAACGTTTTATACTGTTGTGTACTTGAGATTTGTGTATCCTAAATTTTTTTCGATGTTGCCGTATCTGCTTACCCGTATTAGGTGGTATATGTATCCACTACCGTATTAGTGAAATACATTATACAACTTTGAAGAATATTAAGAGGTCGGATTTATTGACTTAGAGGAAGCTCTGCAAGTATCATTAAATTGAAGCTGATTTAGGTGTCATCTAGCATCCTCCTGTCCTTTGACTATATTCCCTTCAATGTTCACAAATGGAGATCCTTCCTCTCCTTCAGTCAGTCAAACATGTCTATGAAACAACGACTTCCATAAAAAAATAGGATCATTTATAAACCTTAACCAATGGGAACTGTTTCAGCTAGCATAAATGCTCGAGATCAAATGAAAATTTCCAAAATAAGAAGGATATTTGTTTATTGTCAATCAATAGTACAACAGGCAAAGCAGAGCATAAAATAGAGGTGGATCTTCAGTACTTAAACAAGACAAAGTGATAATTCCAACTAATGTTATGTCTGATCGCAAGCGTTCAAATTATGCCAGTTATTCCGCAATGACCAAACTTTTAAAGAGAACAATTACTGACAAACCTTCTCCAAGGCCAATGCAAGCTTTGATAGACTTCTATATGTGTCTTTCGGAGATAAAAGAATCTGTAATAGCAAAAGGTAATCAGGAATTAATCCTACACCCAGATAAGTATATGATATGAGGGGGAAACATCAAGCACAAAATAATTGATCAATGATTCAATTTCAGGTCATCTAGCTTCAACTATGCTATAGGATTCTAGGAATTGGTTATGTCCTGCTTCCTAAGATGAGCAAAAACTAAACCCTATTTCTCGAAAAGCATTTTCAATTGCGATGACCATTGTGGATAGCGGGATCACCTCACAAAGCCGCTGCAAAGTAAATGGAGGACCTTCAATAAAGCTTAAAAGAGCTGCAATGCAAAAGATCACAGTAAATAATTCATCATATAGATACAAGGGCAATGAATAACTAAATGAGCACAATCATGGAGGCATGACATGAATGCAAATGCCAAGATTTTTTTTTTTTTTTTGCTCAAATATTTCTTGCATGGATTCTAAAAGTTTTAGTTTCTATTAAAAAAATGAAATTGAGAACCAATAGAAAGTTTAATGAATTTTTTGAATCTTTATCGCCTTTGTTCACTCAGGTGGTTGACTTATTTGACGCCTCTCACCTTAGGCAACACTGGACCTCATCGCCTTGACCTCGCCTTTTGCTTAAGAAGTTTAGAGCCACGAATTGTTCAAGCATTGATGATGAGATTCGAGAAACTAATCAGTCTAGTCTACACTGAAGTTGGTATGGGGAAAAAAGAACGAAGACAAAAAAGGAGTGTGTTTTGAACTTGATGAATGAGTTACGTGAATGCATGCAGTATATCTAAGCTATCTTATGCACTTCAAAATTTACCTTCATCCAGTCTTCTAACTAACTCTTGATATGTTTCTCCGAATAAAGAACTCTGTTGTGGACCATCATCACTGACTAACTGAGCTTCAGGATATTCTGCCAAGACCTTCAAATGTTTTATTTTAGAACATGGATCAGGATAATCCCACTGGGCTTATTACTATTCACTCTCATGTGTGTGCGTGCACACTGCAAAATTATTTGTAATGAATTATAGGCAAGCATTTGTATTACCTGCTTTAGTCGAAACGAAAGCAAGCTTTTCAGTATATCCCAATCATGCCTACAATGCAATTCAAAACATAAAGAGTTCCTCTATGTGTTATTGGAAGATTTTATTCAAATAAAACCAGGCAAACAAAAGTAGAGTTTGAAAAAGGAAAATTCAATTACATAGACTAGTATATTATGTGCTTGAAACATGACCTGACTAACATGACCTGACTGTAACTTCTGTTAGCAGAACTATACTTTGGAAAAAGAAAAATATTTTTAAGCATGTGGACAATTATATTATGTGCTTGCAGCATGACATTACTAGTTAAGTTTTTTTAAAAATGGAACAATAAAAGAAACTCAGATGTAATGTTTTTAGCAAATTATACTACAACTATAAATTAACAGTGACTTCATGAGAATGAAATTTAACAAAGAAGCTTCGAAATTTGAATTTCAAAATTAAAAAATTAAAAAAATGATTGAACACGAAGTACAGTTCAGGAGTGGGGCGTTTTGGGGCAGCAGCCACATAGCCTCCAGGTGCCAACATTTTTTTGGGGGTGGGAGGGGGGGGGGGGGGGGGGGGGGGGGGGAGTTGGAATAAGACATGACAAGATAAATGAGGAAAGAGAACACAGTCCAAGATGTTCACCATCCTCTATCATTGCTGTCACTGCTTTTCCCAGATACAGCTGGCTATTGGGCTGATGTCCTTATTTTTTGCTTTAGGGCTATGCCGAAGAATGAGTTAAGGTTTGACCCTCATTTTTCCTCCATTCTCGTAGCAGCTGTGTACCAAAAGCTACAGTGCCGGAAGTAATAATGCTTATTTTCTTGTGTGGCTTTATATTTTCCTTTCCTTTTAGCCTCACCAGTCTCTATTCTGTGACCTAGCCATTGTTACAGCAGAGCAGAGAGGAAAGCACTCCATGAAGGAGCTATCTAGTCTAACACAATCTACAATCACCTTGATGCCAACAATATAATGGATGCTTACAAACAATCAAGAAATTTGATGGAGGACAAACAAATAAGCCAGAGGTGTTAGATAAGATGTACACATTGACAGGTTCGAAGGCAAAATTGATTAGAAGTGCAATGGCTAGAAGAAGGAACTACTATCCAACATTTCCATCCAATGGTCAATAAGAGAAATAAAACACTGACAATTTTCATCATTAATGGGGAGAAGGAAGATGTCAGCCCTTGAGTTGATAGACTGGAGAGCATGAAATAGTTATAAACCACTGACAACTAGGATAAAAGATAACTTTACTACTCAAATGATGGAATATGATAGACCGTTGTAATTTTTTAAAAGAGGAGTTAATATGGAACTACTGGCGTAAAAGTCAATCGTTTCTCTGCTGCAATGAGAGTAAGATATAAGCATGGTGTCACAGCGGAGAAATAGATGAGTTTGATAAATGAAAAGGATTGATAAACTGATGCCTGAGATGGATGAATGTGCTCATTGTACCTAGAAATCATCCATGTTGGTAAGTTAATATCAGCTTAGGCCACTTCATCAAGAGAAGCAGGGCGACAGAGTAACAAGCAGGAATAGAGTGCTGAAATAATTGAACAAGAAGGAAAATATTTGATCTCTAGCATGCATGTAAATGATACACATCATATTCTGTGCAAGTAGAACGTGAACCAAAGTCAGAAATCCTAAGCTTCACTACATCCATTTGAAATAGGCTGTGGTCTAAGAACTAATTTTACAAAAATGTACTATCCTGTTGTATGCAAGATAAAGCATGATCATATGAAAGGCATGAAATTGTTACAGCGACATCTATTTAAATATTTGCTAGTGAGTTATCCAGAAAGGACTAGCGACTAATAACCAATGGGTTAGAGGTCTGCAATGAAGAAAATAAATAAATTATAAAGACAATGGAGCTGGCATTGAAAGTTTGAAACAACATGTTGACCCCAATTCCTATATTCCATAAGTTTCTTCCATGGACATGATATATAAAATTCAATAGATAGTTTAGATTTTTTTTAAATTATTCTTTTAAAATGGAGGAAAGAAATTTGAGGTAGTTTCTGCATGCAGTGGGAAAATATGCGCAAATGAAGAGAGCATGATGGTTTTGCAAATATCATAATGAACACAAATGTAGTGCTATAAAAATTTAGCTCAGGAAAGCCTTGGTTATCCATATACCACTCAGAAGGTTGTATGCGAAAGCTATTATATTAGTAGCAATATAGCTCAAGGCAAGTCTGATCATGATAGAGAAATTTAGAAAGGTAGACAATAGGCACAGTGGAGATGCAGAATATTCTGACTTTGTACGCGGATAAGGCACAACTCCTTCAAGCCTAATTCTGCAATCTTTTTAATTGGCAATGTCCTGAAGCTTCAGTAGGTCCGTGGTCTGCTAGGAAAATGAGGTGAGAAATTGTCAAATTTCCCACCACGTTTTCAATAGTGAATAGCTCCAGACAGTTCAAATATTCCCTAAGGTACTTCTTGTATAAGAATTTTATAGAGATGCATTAATAACCGGATTATCCCTTTCCCTGCAATATATTCATTTGAAAAACAAGACACCTCAGGAGTTTAAATATCACAATGTTGCAGAAAGACATGATATCCAATTGAGAATAGTGAACTTGCATGGAGTATTAGCTGGAGCCTGTGCCTTATAGGAGGATGGAATAGGACATTGTCCATTAATGGAGTGTGTTAAGTCACCAATATGATGTGGAAGTTGATAACATAATTTGGGAAATCAGGAGACATCCACCTTGAACTTATAAACATAGAGAGCTCGGAAGAATAAGATTCAAACCAAGAATGCTGGAAGCACCCATGTCTTGGTTAGTATTATCCATATTATGGAGTGAACAAAATTGTTTGTAATAGACTCATAAGTATTCAGGCTGGAGCAGAAATAAATAAATATTTTATTAAAAAAAGCTGGGATGAATAGTGTTCAGCCAGGAGCAGAAATATAGAAAGCTAATAGATGGACAAATTATCAAAGCCAGAGTAAAAGGTGAACCTACTTAGGAACACATTGAAGAAGACATCAGTCACATCACCTTGTTTATTTTTGGGTCTATCCTTTCCAGTTGATATCTTGATGAGCACTCAGCCACATATTCGTAAAAGGGGGTTAAGACTAAGTACATGTCCTTTATATTTTCAACAATTCAATGTTCCTTATTCTGAAGTATCTTCACCACTTATCTTGGTATTCTAAATAATCATCTCAAATCACATTGATCTTGTCTTAAATTATCAGAAAACATATATACTATGTCATTAAAAACTAGCAAATGGCATGTAACAAATTAAGAAAAGGAGGAGATCCTTCAATTATGAATGAGAAAAAGAAGATACATAGTAATCATTGTTGGCACATAGCTTTGGACCCATTCACTAATGATTTAACGTTTTTTACACATGGGGTATGACAGTATGTTAACATGCTCTTCGCCATTTACCCTTTGGAAATATTGTATTTTACACTAAATTGAAATACTTAAGAGAATAAAATAAAATGTAAATGGATGAATGTTACAAATATTATCCTCAATACACTCTAATATATACTACTAATGGTAAGTTTTAGAACCAACTCAACAATTATACAAGACAGTGAATGATAGGAAAAGAGGAGATTCATGATTTGTTATAACTCATATATTAAAATCACTTTACAACTAAAACTTTAATTGTATTATTTAAAAATCGGTGTAACATTAGGACATTAAATTACAATAAATCCTTGTATTCCTTTTTTTCTAGTTCTTAAATCTATTAATTGATTCTATTAATACATAGATTTTAATTCTTTTCTTGAAAATTTAGATCTTGCTTTTTTTTTTATTCTAGATCAGAGTCTGTAGCATAAAATCTTCAAACCTAACATTTTTTCTTAATCAAACATACAAAACCTACTCTCTTTTTTTCTTTGTTTATTTGTGTTCTAAATCTACTATTTGATCCTGTTATCCTGTTATAATATAGAACACCGATTTTAATTCTTTTCTTAATAATAAAAATATTGTGATAGTTGTGTTTACTGAATTCTAAGTCATAATCCATGACATAAAGTCCTAAACCCTAACATTTTCTTTTTATTATCAAACATAAAAACCCCAACTGTAAAATCTATTTTTTCGCACTTTGTAGGATTTTTTGGTAGGTGGATAATCCAAATATCGACAACACTGAATCTGATAGAGTTGAACATGTTTAGAACTGATGGCCAAGATTTTACTAGAACCAATAGCGGTATGCTATGTTATTTTGAATTCCGATGAATTTGTTATATGGAAGAGAGTTTTGCTTCGCATCTAAAATCACACACCAAGAGTTATACAAGTTTGCCCTGAAAGTAGTGCCTAGTGTGTGACAACAATTGTTCTAATCTAGGCAGGCACCTCATGCATGATCACCTGAATTGAAGAGTAATCCGATTCTTATTTTATTTATGTTATTAATTTATCTATTTTAACCTTTTTTATGTGTTTTAGCTAGCTATCAGAAAGACATGGATATAAGTGAAAACAAAATCATTTTTCTTGAATTATTTTCCAAAGCTTTTTTGGTATTACGGTGTATATTTTTAAAAGTAAATGCCAAAATAATACTAACTTCAAAAACAAGCACCGTGGGGTTGAAACCATGACCTCCAAATTAACATCCTTCTGCCTCTATTGATTGGGCTTTGCCTGATAATCGCAAATTCCTAGCAAATCAAGGAATATTTTAACAAATTGAATTCAAGTACCTTTTGATATAAAGTTAAATTCGAACACAAACCCTCCGGATCCAACCTGTAACACTACATCAAACAGTTGATCTTGATATGTAACAAAACTAAGTGTGCTCTTTTTTAACAAAGTCCTCTACTCTAACTCCTATTAATTGTTCCCATTGCTCCTCATTAAGAGAGTAACTAAAGAGAAACTAGAATCGAGAGGTACGATGTGTTTCTTATTTTTGAATCTATTACTTAATTTTACTCGATTATATCAATATAAGACATTTTTTCCTTGAAAATTTGGAACTTGCATTTGGTGTTTTTATTGCAA